GGTCCCAGGATGGCCAGAGCACCTGCCCCCATGACCCACGGCTGTGGCCAACACCTGTGGGACGCTGGGGGGCCGTGGGTGGCAAGGTGCCGGTCAGAAGCCGTCAAAGCTTCTAACTTCTTCACCCTCCCTGGCGCCCCTCGGCGCCTCCCCGCCCCGAGCTCCACTTGGGGTGTCCTGGTGCCTCCGGGAATAGTCTCCCCTCCAGGAGGGCACGGCTTTCTCAGCAGCAATCGTACTGTTATTGCCATTGAGGGAATGGGAGAAGTGGGGTGGGACCCTCGTCCCTCGAGAGCCTTTGGCCCAGTGACCGAGCCTCGTGTGGGTCCCTCTGGCTGCTCCGGGAGTCTGTATGATCCCGAGTCAGCAGGAGCCACCTGCCGGAGCCCCACATGATGGCAGGGGCCACGCTCAGGCCATGACTAGTGCTGAGACGTGAAGGGCTTTCAGTGAATTTCAGGTCGCGCCGTCAGCTCGCTGTCCTCGGTGCTGACCCTGCCGTGGATTTGTGTCCTCAGGAGCCCCTTGTCCTCCCTGAGGCTCCGGGCGCCCACTCCAGGGAGAGGCTGCGAGGCCATCAGGTCTGGAGCCCACGATCTGATCCGGCCCGAGCCTTTGCCCTGGGCCAGACCTCACTCGGGGGGACCGCATCCACAGGGGACAGGGAGGGGGCCCTGGCCTGGCCTGTGCTGCTAGACCTGATAGAGGCACGTCTGGCCTCCATCTTCCCAGCCCCACGGGGGCAGCCGCCTGCCTCGGGAACCAGCAAAGTCCAGAGGGTGCCCCGTGGCCCCCGGGAAGGGTGTGGTCCCAGAGCTGCAGACAGGCTGGCCCAGGGAGGGGGCAGTGGTGCCATGCTGGGGGGTCCGGGGGGCCCAGGCAGGGCCAGCTGTTGCCGGGTCAGACCCCGCTCCTCCCCGGCCGGTCCCCAAGGTGTCCAGCTCAGCCCCTGCCCTTGCTCTGCTCCTGCAGACGGTTCTGACCAGTTCAGGGAAGGGTCCTTGACCCACCGACTGGGCAGCAGTGGGGGGCCCAGGCAGGGCCAGCTGTTGCCGGGTCAGACCCCGCTCCTCCCCGGCCGGTCCCCCAGGTGTCCAGCTCAGCCCCTGCCCTTGCTCTGCTCCTGCAGACGGTTCTGACCAGTTCAGGGAAGGGTCCTTGACCTACCGACTGGGCAGCAGCGGGCAGGGCCTTTCTGTGTCCAGCAGCCGGACAAACACTCACCTCCAGGACGTTTGCCTCCAAGGATGTGACGTGTACGTGCCACGTCTCCTGTCCTGCAGCCAAGCCAGCCGGGCACACAGCCTGGGGAGGTGGCGGCTGGAAGAAATGACCCCTTTCTTCTCTCCTTCCTACCCCAGGAACATGGCTGACAGCAAGGCCAAGCCCGCCAAAGCCGCCAACAGGACACCGCCCAAGTCCCCAGGGGACCCCGCGAAGGACAAGGCAGCCAAGAGGCTGTCGCTGGAGTCAGAGGGGGCCAACGAGGGGGCGGCCGCAGCGGCGCCCGAGCTCAGCGCCCTGGAGGAGGCCTTCCGGCGGTTCGCGGTACACGGGGACACCAGGGCCACCGGGAGGGAGATGCACGGCAAGAACTGGTCGAAGCTGTGCAAGGACTGCCAGGTGATCGACGGCAAGAACGTGACCGTCACCGATGTGGACATCGTCTTCAGCAAGATCAAGTGAGTGCGTGGCCGGCCCCGGGCGGCCTTTCCAGAGAGTCTGCGGTTCTGTGTCCTCTGGTGGGCGGTGGGGAGGCTGACGAGGCGCTGCCTCCAGACCCTGCCTGCCTCACGATGAGGGGCCACGGGAACCAGACACACCCTGTGTGGGCAGCCGGGGACAGCGGCCTTCCTGAAGTGCGTCCCGACCTGTGAACCGTCCTGAGCCACAGTCCCGCCCTTGGCACTACCAGCCCCGCAGCCCAGTGGGGTCTCGACCTTGGAAGTAGCCTGTCCCTGGGGTGACTGGCCGTACCCCTAGCCCCCAGCCCCTTCTGGGTTTCTCTCCACTTCTGACTTGGAAAATTTTCATGTGTGTAGGAAAGTTGAAATAATAGAACGGAGAGCGCTGCGCACGCAGCTGCAGAGTCAGTGGCCATGGCAGCGCGCCGGCCTGAGCCCATTTCTGCTACTTTTAGCAAAATACACGGAACTGGGTGATTTATAAGAAAACGAAATGTACTGCTTACGGTTTATGAGGCTGGAAAGTCCAGAGTCCACCTGGTGGTGGTGACAGTGACCCAGAGGTCTCACATTGGAAGATGGTGGAGCAGAGAAAAGAGAGAGAGAGAAAGACAGACTCTCCTCTTCTTTTAAAACCCCCAGAACCATGCCCCTGACCACCATTTTTAATCCATTCACCACTGCAGGTCCCACAATCCAATCCCCTCTTCAAGGCTCCACATTTCAATCACCATAATAGGATTTCCCACCCTCTTTACAGTCAAGTGGGGGCAAGTTTCTAATACATAAAACTTGGGGGACACAAGTCAAGCTTCAGTGAGTTTTGAGGGACATAATCTAATCCATTACAGTGCCCTTTATCTGTGGGCGTGCATGTGTCTGCTGTGAATGTTCCCGTACGACGCACGCACACAGGTGCACACATACTCCTGCATGCACTTGTGTGCATTCCTTGTGTAATGTGTGTGCCTGTCATGTGTGTTCCTGCATGGTGCATGCGTGTGTATTGTATGTCTGCTGTGCATGTTCCTGTACTGTGCACGTACACATGTGCATGCATACTTGTGCACACACGTTTCCTTATGTCATGTGTGTGTGCGTGTCATGTGTGTTCCTGCATGGTGCATGCGTGTGTATTGTGTGTCTGCTTGTGCATGTTCCTGTACTGTGCACGTACACATGTGTGCATGCATACTCCTGCATGCACTTGTGTGTGTTCCTTGTGTCATGTGTGTGCCGTGTCATGTGTGTTCCTGTGTGGTGCATGTGTGTGCATGGTGTGTCTGCTTATGCATGTTCTGGTGCCATGCACATACACGTGTGCACATATACTTGTGCAGGCACGTGTGTGTGTTCCTTGTGTCATATTTGTGTGCACACGTGTCTTTTTTCTTGGACACTGGCAAGCACGGTGAGGTGCCCTATGCCTCTTCGTGCTCCATGGACTGTCTCAAGCACAAGGTCATTTTCCTGCTGCCACAATCCACAGCCACCCCTGAGAAAAGCAGCAGCTTCCCCCAAGGCCACCTCCCATCTGGCCCCAGCCAGGTCACCCTGCGGATGGAGGATGGCTGTGCTTCCGCCATTTTTGCCCCATGTGCACTTGCATCTTAGTCACAGGTCTTTGAGCCTCGCCACTCTCTTCTCAAGGCTCCTGCCGCCTTCCCTCCTGACAGCTTCACTCTGGAAGGACGGGGCCGTCGGTCAGGATCCCATCCTGCAGGGTCTTGTCGTCAGTTTCCGTGGTGCTCTTTGCCCAGCATCATGCTGTCCTCTGGGTCTGGGTGGGTGATGTGCTCTTCATGGCTGTGGCTTTCTGTCACCACGTTACTGTGGGAAGATGCTGTCAGGGTGTTTCTGGGTGCGGTGAGGTCTCCCTGACTCCTCGTGCGCACCGTTGGCGCCTGTGCCTGTGCTGGATGCCAAGCTGAGGCTGAGGGGCAGTCGTTACTGCCGGTCACCACAGAGCTATGTGCCAACTCTCCCAGGGAGACCCCAGCTCACTGGGGACAGTGTTCCTTTGGGGGACAGGAGGGGCCACTGGGCAGCTGGGCAGGGCAGGGTGGAGGTGGTCCCACAGGTGGCCCCGTAACAGGAGCTGGAGGCTGGCGCTGGCTGGCGGAGGGGCCTCAGCCTTCCTGCCCCCATGGGAAGAAGTGGAATCTGGTTGGGATTTAGCACAGGTGGGCCGCACTACAGCTGCAGGATCCAGGGCCCTGCTGTGCTTCCTGCTCCAGCCTGAGCCAGTCCCTTCTCAAGGCCCCAGCTGGAGGAGCAGCAGGGACGAGGCTGCAGAGCCCGAGGCCGTGGGCCCAGGGAAAGGGGTCCCTCTGAGGTTACCTGGCCCCACACCTCCCATGTTGGGCCCAGCCGTTCCTGCCCATCCGGGGCAGGCACCGACTTCTGTCTCTGCAGAGGGGCAGGCAGGCACCCTCAGGCCACCACAGTCCTCAGATAAACTTGCGGTGTGTGCAGATGTGTGTGAGGGCGTTTGGGTATCGGAAAGTTGTGCCAGAAGGGCTGTGAAACCCGCCCACTGGGTCCCTGAATCCTGACCCTCCCTGCGCCGACCGACTGCCTTTGGGCTCCCTGACTCTGGAGGGGCCACGTGGGGCAGTTTGGGCCTGAATGTCCTATTTATTCCACCACCTGCGGCCCCCGCCCCTGGTCCATGAGAAGCTGGAAACGAGCCTGGGTCACGTGGCTCAGACAGCTGTGAGGACGGTGTGGACAAGGTAGCCCCTGCCCCCAGGGCAAGCAGGCCTCATCTCTGCCCTGTCTGGGCTCAGCCCACCTGACACCCTCCTCTGTGACTTCTCAGACCTCAGTTTCCTCCCGGGGTTCGGCCATCTGGGGCCAGGATGTGAGAGAGGTTGAGGCTGCACCCCGAGCTGTTCTGTCGATCTGTCAGGCTGCTGCCCCTGAGTCTCTGGGCTCACCCCTGCCCTTCCCGCCCCAGCCAGCGTGGCCTGTAGCTGCCGTCCAACTGGTGGTCAGAGCGCAGCCTGGCCAGGCCTGCCCGTTCCTTGTCCTTGAGCTCGTTGGGACCCCGACTTCTGCTCTGGCCTGGGTCCCACCTCCTCACAGAGGCCCAGCCGACCCTTCCGTCCAACTGGTGGTCAGAGCGCAGCCTGGCCAGGCCTGCCCGTTCCTTGTCCTTGAGCTCATTGGGACCCCGACTTCTGCTCTGGCCTGGGTCCCACCTCCTCACAGAGGCCCAGCCGACCCTTCACCAGCACCAGGCCCTGGCAGCTCCCAGCCCTGCCTGGGCATGTGTCTGGAGACACAGCTGCAGCTCCTCTGTGGCCTGACCAGGGATCTCAGTGCTTGCTATCCTTGTGCCCCTTGGGATGGGGACCAAGGTGGCTGACCCCTGGCTTGGGCAGGCATCTCAGGCTCACCACGTTGTCCACGTGCAGCCTTGTCCTTAAACAGCTGGCTTTGCCGTGTGGGCCTGAGTGACGGCTGGCAGCCACAGGCTGACCCTCGCCCTGGTGCCCAGATCTGGCTCAGCCAAGTGGATGTGTCCAGGGCACCAACTTGGGGAGGAAAGCTAGGTCAGCTGCATTTACCATGGTGGCGGCAGGTGAGGCTGATGCCCGCTATTGCACCTCTGCTACTGCAGGTGTCCTTGCTGGGGGGGTGGGGGGGCACCCCGCTTGCTGATCCCAGTCCTGTGCTCTTCCCAGGCATGGCCTCTGAGCCGTCTGGTGTTGGTCTTGATAAACCCAGAGTGTCCGTGATAGACAGGAGCAGACCCAGGAGCAAAGGGGCATGCCGAGCTGCACCCTAGGGAAGCTTCCAGAAGGCTGAACAGGAGGCGGAAACAAGCAGCCTGTCCAGGGCCAGTCTCCCACCAGGGAGGGCTCCGAATTCCACAGCCGTGGCACTGGCCCAGATACTACCACATGCAGTGCCAGGGGCACAGCTCCTCCTGTAGGAAGTTGCCTTCGAGATGCTGCACATAGGCACATACATGCACACACGCACGCACATGTAGCATTCAGGTTGTCACACACTCACTTGTGGGTGGTGCTACTCCAGAGGTCCCGGCACCCTGGTGTCCAGGTTGAGGGACATGAGTCCTCCTGCCCATGGGTGGCACAGGCACTACTCCAGGGAGCCCACAACCACCAGGGAAACCTGTCCCCTGTCCCTGGCCCTGTTCCAAGAAGACAGGACTTCGGCTGCTGGGACACTGGAGCTGAGGCCTGGCCCCAGTTCCGGGGCAAAGCTGGCTTTCCCCTGCAGAGCCCAGAATGCTCGGGGACCTTGGGGTGCCCCTGCCTTGGCTCACCATGGGGTTGAGGTCTGGGGGAACGAGCAGTTGCGACCCAAGCTCAAAGAGGGGTCAAGGTCCTGACAGTCCTGGACAGCCAGGCTGGGGCAGCACTGGAGCTGTTATGTCGGGGGACTTGCTGGTCAAGTGTCCGGGAGGGCGGCAGGTGGGTTGGTACACGGGGCGGCCAGACGGAGAGCCTGGCGTCGGGTGGCTGAGGGATTCTGACCTCCTCTGTCCACCCCAGCGGGGCTTCTGTCCCCTCCTTCCCTCTCCCACCCTCAGACTGTCCTGAGGGTCCCTATTCTGGGGGTGGAGCCCCCTGACCTCCAAGGTGTGCAGGAATAAGGGACCCAAATTCACACCCTAACCCTGGAAGAGAGAGGTAGAGGGTGCCCTGGCTGGGGTTGTGGGGTCCTACAGGAAGGGCTGGAGAACTAGGGGGTGGGGGTCACCGTGAGGTGGCTGTTGGGATTGTGTTTGTTTTGCACTTGAGGGTGGGGTGTCCCCTGGCCGAGTGGCGGCAGCAGCTGCAGAAAGGCCTTCCTCCCCTCGGGAGTGCTGGGATGGGAGGAAGCGGCCTTCGGTACCTCCAGAAAGTCGCTGCCTCTGACAGGGCTTGGTAAAGAAAAAAGTCCGACTATTTCTGTTTTCGGGGCAGGTTGCCATGGCTCCGTGGGCGTGGCGCCAGCTCGGGTATCTGCGGCCTTTGTTTAGG